CCCCCGGGGCCTTATTCATGCTGGGGAGGTGAAGACAGCTTAATTCTCTGGCCCAGACACAGGGCTGCTTGCCAGATAGGGGGTGGGGTCACCGCTGAGCACCACCCCCAAAAGCGGACACAGGGAACAAAGCTACTGGTGTCCCCCTGGCCCCAGGGTTCTCCCCTCTGACCCTCCCCCCGAACCAAACAGCAGCAGTCCTGTGGCAGCTAAATTACCAGGATGAGTGATGCTGGGTGTTGAGTGAACCTGCTTGGGTTGACAGAGCAACCTCAGCCCTCCAATCTGGGGACAGGGAAAAGAACCAATGCCAGATCTTGGGGTTTCCTTAGGCCTGGTAACCTGGGCTTTTGGGCTTCAAATCAGGAACCAAACAATCCTGGTTTCATGCCAGCCCCTTCCGATCACCCATGCTCCTCAGGGACCCGAGGCCCCTCAGAACTGCTGACGATGCCTGTTCTCCATCACGTCTGCTCACCTCAAGGCCAGGGCCATGGCTGGGGCCATCTGCCTCGTTTTTCCCTTGGAAGCCCTGGGCTCCAGCTCCATCCCCGGTGGACAGGGCAGCCTGGGAAATACCTGCGTTCCCCACCCTCCCCCCACCCGGATCTCAGATGCAGCAGGGAACTCCATGCTTTGATGCTGTGGGGAGGACCCTCCTCCCCTTCCCTTTCCTACAGTGAGGATGGGCAGTCGGAGCTGCTCCTCATGCCCTGCAGACTCTGAGAAACCCTACCCAAGGCCTGAAGAGCCTAACCCGAGACCTGCCTCCTCTCCAGGGCAATCGGTGGGAATCTAAGACTGCGTCTGAGATCGAGCAGCACGTCAGAACGAAGGACAAGACTGTGCTCCCAAATCTCAGCCCCTCACTTCCGAGCTGCGGGCAAATCGCTAAACTCTAATGTCCCGGTCCCTAAAATGCCTACTTGGGGAAACGACTGGGATGGCTGGACAGCATCGTCCAGACGAACACAGCATGGTCGCCCAGGCTGCCTGGCTCTCCTCCTTCGTACCGGCTGCTGCGGCTGCTCCCTGCCCACAGGGTGGGGTGCGGCCCGTGCTGGGCAGCAAGGTGAGGCCCCTATGCTCAGGGCTCTTCCAGGAGGCTCTACCTGCAATGACAGGTGACACTCCTGAGTCAGACCCTTGCATGGAGTGACTGCGCTGCCCTCATTCAAGAGGCCAGATTTGCGGGCACTTTACAAGGGGCTGAGGGTGCTCTTCCTTCTCCCAGATCAGCCTCTTGGTGTAGTGAGACTCCTGGGCCAGTGGTGAGAAGGGTCCTCAGAGACTGTCTGTGCTGGAGCCTGAGATCACAGGTGGCATCTCATCCCAAGCACCGTACAGATGAGGACCTGAGGCCCAGAGAGACCTGGACACAGCCAGCCAGAGGTAGGATGGAGACGGAGCCCCCCACGTGAGATGCCGCCCCTGTTCCGGCACATGCCTTGCCCGTGCTCCGCTCAGGCCACTGTGTCAGAGGACAGCTGGCACTTCTTCATGGCCCTCGAGGACACCTGGTCCCCAGGGAAGTGGAGGTTGACAGAAGGGCTCCATGGATAGACTGATCTGGCCGAAACCTGGTTCTTCCCTGCAACCATGGCAGACCCAGGGGTCCAGCTTCTGCTCGGGGCTTCACGGCCCTCAGCTGTGACACAGAAGTGAGCATCAGGAAGAAGAGTCTAGTCACACGGCTGTGACCAGAGCTTTTAATTAGCGAATGCATGGAGGCGGTTTGGGAAGGGTGACAACTGTGGAACACGCAAGTCACTGCCACCATTCCGTTCCCGGAAGGACAGCGCGGGCCAGAGGAAGGGAGGGGTCATGTCTGGGTGTGCCCAGCGGCCCTCTGTCCTGCTTTCTGCCCCTCTTTGGCTCTTCTTCCCTAGGCCAGAAAAGCAGGGGGATAGGGGTAATCTGGTTTATAACTTTAGGGGGAAAAACTCAAACAGGGAAACTTCTGGAAAATTCTGTAATGTTAGACAGGAAAAAGGCCAGACTCCCTGGCTGGGCCAGGGTGAGCTGGCAGCCTCTCAGGCCTGGCTGGAGCAGGCCCTGGGGTGCGCGTGTGTGCAAGAGCACACGCCTGTGTCTCGGGACAGCAGGGAGCTCGGGGAGCCGGTGGCTCTCCTCCCCGTCTGCCCTCTGTCTCCTGTGACCCTCTCCCTCCCTGCTCCTTCATCTTCTCTTTCCCCAGCAGTGAGGCAGTGAGGAGCTTCCCTGCATTAAGTCCTGGCTGGGCAGCTGCCTGTCAGCCAAATAGTTGAAGGTAGAGAGAGTCCCGTGACCCGAGGCCCTTCCTATCACTTAACTTCTGGATCCAAAAGGAAAATTCTGCTCTCTGATCCTCAGAACTGGGTGTTTCATGCATGAAATGATTCCCACACACCTCTTGGGATGAAGTTGATGGCTTGGCCCCCACCCTGGGGGCTCCCTCACCAGCAACCCTTGTCCCCAGCTCCCCCCTCCAACCCTGTCCCATGTCCCCCTCCAAAGAGGTATGTGAGTGGGTGATGGGCCACAGGCAGGAATAGGCCAGAGGTTTGAGACCAGGAGCCGGGAGTCACTTGGAGGCTGGGCGGAGAGATCAGAGATGGCCCAGGAAGGGAACAGTGGAAGAGGGGAGAGGACAGCCGGCATCTTTGTCTCTGATGAGAGAGGAGACTGGGCAGCCCTCCCCTGCCCCCTTCCTGCTCCCTCACTGACCTCCCTGCTCACATCAAAGTGGGGACCTCTTCCCCTCGCTCTGCTCCGAGTGGGTCCAAATCATCACTGCTGGCTTTTCGAAGCTGCTGATGGATGAACAGTAACAGCTCCGAAGTGCAGAAAGACAGGTCAGCCCTGGCCCTCGCCTGGACCCCTGCATGGGGGAGGCTGCCCTCCCTGCTGCCTGCCCCCTTCCCTGCATCCCAGCCTCACGGCTCCTGGGGACAGTGTGGGTAGCACGTGTCAGGAAAAGGGGGTGTGCAGTTAGCTCTGATGCTGGGGTGCAGAGGCCCCCAGATGCAAGGGGGCGGTGTGAGCAAGGCGAGGGCCTGAGGATGTGTAAATCCTTGTCGGGAAGGCTGTGGGAGCAGCAGAGCCATGTGGTGAGGCAGGGCGAACCCCTGCTGAGCACCCCACCGAGCAGGAACGGAGGGGAAAGGACCCAAAACTCGTTCTTGTGGCTTCGAAATGTGTCTCCCTTCTTTTTCCTCCAGTGAGCTTGCGACCTGTTTTGATTAGCCAAAATCACTTATAACCGTCAATCAGTGCTTCTGATCAACAAAGGAGTTGTGACTGTTACTACACTGAGCCAAAATAAAGTCATCCGAGAACTAAGGACCCTCCACATTTTAGGTAAACTGTGGGACCACGTAGGTAAATGCACACTTCCATCAGGCTTTTTGATGGCTGACAACAGCTTGATGATGCATTCCATGGTTTTATAATGGACTTGTAGTGCTTTCATAACTGGGTGTTGGTGAATCAAGTTCTGTCTCAGGTTCACTCAGGCAGCCCAAACCACAAATGGGGAGCCCTACTACCTTATTCCACCAGAGAACAGAAAACTCCAGGTTTTCTACTAAAAAAGTACGGGACCTCGATTTATGACACTCAGGTAGCCCAAATCGGGGTTATCGGATCAGAGAAAGAGCACAAGACTGTTGTGGAGGGTACTCCATACTTAACTAAAACCCGTTCCTATTTTTTAGAGCAGCTCAGCCCGGAAAGGAGGAATAAAATCTGGGATACTGCTGCCATCCCGTGGCCAAACCAGAAACTACAGCTATTTCTCATTATTCCATTCACATTAAAACTACTGTAATAAAACTAAAAGTTGCCCTATGAAATTACCTATATGAGACCCCGCATGACCTTTAAAACAATGTCAGTTTACCAGAACAGTTTCATGGGGGAAGAGTATTCTTTTCCATAATTGGGGCTGGAACACCTAGACCCACATGCAAACTTGGACACCCTCCTTACATCATACATAGCAATTAACTTAAACTGGACCATAGACTTAAATGTAGAGCTAAAACTGGAAAACCATTAGAAAAAACATAGGCAGAAATCTTCATGGCTTCGGACTGTCCAATGTTTTCTTACATATGGCACCCAAAGCACATTGACAAAAAAAACTACATAAAAATTAAAAACTTTCCTGTTGCAGGTGATATAATCTAGAAAGTGAGAGATAACCCACAGGAGGCAAGAAGATATTTGCAAGTAATATACCTGGTAAGGGACTGTATCCGGGATAAATAAGAAATCTTACTACTTAATAATAAACAGGCAAATGACCCAATTTTTGAAATGGGCAAGACCTGGACAGACATTTCTTCAAACAAAACAGGGCATTATCTAAGTGGAATACATCAGAGAAAGACAAGCACCATATGAGCTCACTTGTTATGTGGAACCTAAAAGCAAAACGAACAAAAAATACAAGTTCACAGATACAGGGAACAGACTGGTGGGTCTTGGGGGTGGGGGTTGGGCAAAGTGAGTGAAGGCATCAGAGCACGAGCTTTGAGTTATAAATTAAATAAGGCACGGGGATATAACACGCATCTCGGTGACTATCACTCGTAATGCTGTATTGCATATTTGAAAGTAGCCAAGAGAGTGAATCTTCCAGGTTGTCTTCACAAGAAACACAATTTTGAACTACGTGTAGTGGTGGATGGTAGCTCATTGGGGTGATCACTTCACAATACAAATACTGTACTGTGTTGTACACCTGACACTAGTGTGTCAGATATTTCTCAGTTAGAAAACATAGCAGAGAATGTACTTCATGCCCAGCAGGATGGCCCCCTTGGAAAGATGGGTGACAAGTGCTGGCGTTGAACTGGAGCCCTGAAACACTGTGGCTAGTGACGAGAAGATCTGGCCGTTCTGCAAAGCAGCAGAACTATCGCGAGACAGAGCTGCCGCACAGCCCAGCACTGCTCTCCTCAGTGTGTGCTGGCGAGATATGAGCACGCACCTCTTCATGAAAACTGACACGCGAATGTTCATAGCGCAATTTATAACAGCAAAAAGATGAAAACAATCATCAACTAAAATTTTACGTATTTGTACAATGAAATATTCTGCAATAAAAAATGAAATACTGATACATGAGCATTTTACAACAGCATGAACCTTGAAAACATTATGCTGAGAGGCACAAAAGACCACATACTGCATGATTCTATTTATACAAAATATCCAAAATGGGCAAAACTGCTGGGACAGAAAGTAGATTGCCAGGTGGCTGTGGCTGGGTGTGAGCAGGACGGGGAGTGACTGCGGAGTGGGTTTGGGGTTTTGAGGATGAAACCATTACACAATCAAATTGTAGTGATAGCTGTCCCATTTTGTGACTAAACCAACCGAATTATTTACTTTAAATTGATGAAGTTCGTGGTATGTGAATTTTATCTCAAAAAGGTATTTTTAAATGGCCAATTTCATCTTTTTCAGCCTTATACATTACATTAATCGAGCCCTTCCCATATGCCAGGAACTCTTCTGGGAACTTAATATGAATGAATGAATGCAACCCGGGGGTATCTGTCCGACACAGGCCCTGTTTTGGAGGCGAGTGAACTGCTCTGACCCAGGAACCAGGCAGGGTCTCAATACCCACTTCTGAGTGCAGTCTCTGGTGGGGACCAGCAGGCTGCCTCTGACCCTGTTTCTAACCCACGATGCCCCTCCACCTTCCAGGTCTTTCCCGCCATTGCTTAAGGGGTGGTGGTGGTGGTTGAGGGGGGTGGGGAGTGCAGGTGTTACTGGGGGAGAGAATGTAAGATTAAAGCAGGAAACGTTTTCAGAGAAGGGCGACATGGAACAGCCAGGATCCGGGGCTCCGTGGGAGTCAGGGTGGTCCCTGGGGTAGTAGTGATGCCACTAAATGAAGGCAGGAGTGGGAGGGAAGGGCCCAGTGTGGAGCAGTTGGGCTGATTCCAGGGAGTGGACAGGGGACTCCCAAGACGTGACGACCACGAGACACAGAGGTCAGAGATTTATGAGGTGTCAGCATTATGGACATTATCACAGGTCCAAAGCCATCCCGCACTTTGGCTGTGGCACCGAGGGCACCGAGGCTGAGCCCCTCAAGGAGCCTGAGAGGAAATAAAATGAGGTGCAAAGTGAGGAGCCCAGGGCAGGAGAGGCCTGGTCACTGGATTTAGGGACAAGGCACAGTGTGACGAGGGAGAAAATGGCTTTCCAGGCTGAGGATGCACAGGCCCAGCCAGAAAATCACCTACCAGGCCACCGTCTAGCAGCAGGCCTGCAGGGGTGGGGGGAGCCGGCCCTCTGGCCAGCCTCCTAAGGAACAGACTAGACTTCCCGCCCACGAGCACACCATGGACATTGAGGGAAGAGCTAAAAATGAAAGCTCCAGGTGGGCAAAGAACACTGGTTTTCATTATAAGCTTTTGAGGTTTTTTCAAAATCATGTGCATGTAGGACTTGAATAAAAAGAATGAAAACTGTCTCCTTATACTAATTACACGACTTCAAGGCAAATCCAGGCTTTTCGTTGGCTCTGACCAGCATTTCCTTTGGGCATGGGCCAGCCTCCCAGGCCACACCACAGGGGGTAAAAGTTCTCTCAGGTGACTCTCGAGGACGGAACACAGCTGCGGTACCCAGCAAGGCCAAGAAAACTCAGAAAAGGCAGAGGCACCCTCACCCCTCAGCCCCCACCGTGGCTCTGGAAACCAAGAGCACATTTGTGTACAGCAGCCAGCTGCCTGGGCCCTCTGAGGTGGCTCCCTGGGTGCTGGGGTCCCTTCCAACATCCGTAAGGCCAGGGGTCCTCTTGGCCATTTGTCTCCCTAATTCCAAGTCAGTCATCACGACTTTCTAAGTGTCACATGCTTGCACCTTTATCTGGAGAAGCACGGTTTACTAGTAGAAACAATGGCCAAAATCTTTAAGTCTCGTGCACATGAACGCAGGCACTCACCTGCACTTTGGGAGGTGAACCCGTCATGCACTGCAGCACCAGGGGGTGGGGCCGAGGCTTACAAAGCAGCGCGGGCAGTGGGAGCACAGAAAGGCTGCCCTTGGGCTCTTCCCCAGCTGCTGTCCCTCCAGCTTTTCTCAGCCCAGGCCAGAGTAAAGTGCACCTACCGGTCACAAGAAACAAGAGGGGAGCTGGCAGGACAACTGAGCAGGGAGGCTGGGACCATCTCCATCCCCACTGCTGCCCGCCACGGCCACCTCCTTCCTGAGACCCAGAGGCAGGAGGCTCGCTTCCAAAACAAGGCGGCTTCAGACCACGGCAGCACCCTCCACTTGGATGAACCAAAGCTGGGCCCAGTCCAGAAAGCACATGCAGCTGGAACACCAACCACTTACCCAGAACTTTTATTTTTTTACTGACTGAGGGAGGGAGGGAGGGGGAGAGAGAAACGCTGATTTGTTGTTCCACTTGTTTATGCACCCACTGGTTGATTCCCATATGTGCCCTGACCAGGGATTGAATCTCCAACCTCGGTGCACCTAACCAACTGATCCACCCTGCCAGGGCCTAATCCAGAACCTCCTACACAGCACCTTTCTCTAGACTTCCAAATCCAGTATGACTTGCTTGGGTGCCTAAGTGATTTTTTGAAAACTGATTTAGTTAAAAACATACTGGGAAATTCCACATAAATTCCCAGATTTCCTGACTGAAAGACGATCAGAGTAGCGGCTCCCACACAGCAACACCCAGACAGAGCTGGCAAGTGCCCACTGCAGACAGCCACATGCCCCTCTCCAACCTCACACCCAGTCGAGACAACTCCTGTGTGACGCCCGCCTGCCTCCCTCGCTGGTGAGCACCCTTCACAGGCCCCACAACCGCCAGCCAGGCAGGGCTCCTGTGCTGGCACAGGGGGTGCCCCTCAATTCTGACACCTGTGTCTATGAGACCCGAGAAGAGCGCGGAGGAGAAAGGGTTTGCTCAGACCCTGCAGCTCCGTGACAGCGACTGACTGCTCCGAGTCTCCCCGAGTTGGATGACCACCACCACGCTCTCCCACCACAGGAACCCTCCCGACAGACCCAGAACTCCATTGCTGCATGAAAATGGCCCCCATCTGATTCTCTGCCACAGTTCTCTTTTTCCAATTTCTGACCCCAGCTGCCTGGACCTGGGCCCTCTTCCAGCTTGGCAAGATGTCCCTGAGGCGGGGATACTTCCCACAGGTTTTTTCCGAGTGTGGCTCGGGTATCAGCAAACAGCCTTTAGTTTCCAGGAAAAGCCCTGGAGCAGCTGCAGGTCCACTGAGAGAGCGAGGAATCCAGGGGCCATGCTGCCCAGCAGTCTTCACTGAGCTCCCCGATGCCCAGCCCCATCGTCCTGGTTCCGATCCTGACTTGGCATCTCTAGGCCCAGACGGTTCAGAGAGCGAACGAAATAGCGAGGAAGCCTGCAGACCAAGCTGAGCGCCTCCTTCCTGGACCCCAGGGCGGGCAGGACCAGCTGGCGGGCATGCAAATGAAGAGGGATGTGGCGGGCCTTGGCCTGCGGCAGGCCCAGCTTCTTCAGAGTGCCGGCAGGCAGCTTCTGTGCAGAGAAGAGGCGGTGTTGAGGGCAGTGCCAGCAGCGGTTCACCCCAACCAACACGCAGGTCACAAGACCCGCACTTGGAGGCATCCAGCACCACCACGCCTAGAAGCGGGGCTCGGAAGGGTCTGGGACCCAGGTAAGGGCGATCCGCCTCACCAGGGAGGCTCTTCCCACCAGCTCTCTGGCCTTTCAAGAGAATGGGCTAGAACATCACAAGACATGAACATTTCCACTGTGGCTTTTTTGCAGCAGCACGAAAGGCAGCTTTGAGCCTTCTGAAAGCCTCCTCCCCAGCCCAAGGCCTCCTAACAAAACCTGACACTGATTACATGAAGCAGGAAGGTTCTGACGAGAGACCCTGCGCCCCATGAGCACAGGAGCCGACCATGTCTGAACCCCTCCGATGGCCAGGTAACAGGGGCGGTGCTTGTCCGAAGACCGTCAGGTTGGCCTGCTGTGGCCCGCTCTTGCTGTGACCTGCTCCTGGCTGTCACAAGGGGACAGGCCGCGTTTGGCCCCTCCACCTGGTGCATTCTAAGTGAAACCCGTTACCTGGGGGGCCAGCCTGCTCCAGTCCGAGTACTTGTGGTCACCAAGGATGGGGCAGTCCAGTCCAAAGGACAGGTGAACTCGAAGCTGATGTTTTATCCCTTCATGAGAGAGAGAGGAAGCTTGTGAGTGGCTAGAGAAACAGTGCCGCTGGGGGCGTCGGCCTCTTGTCATGTTAAACCGAAGCACGGTGAACTGGCACAGCCCCAACGCCATCAAGTTACAAAGACTAACCCGACAAACTCTAAGTCAGCGGGAGGTAAAGGCTGCCTGCCACCCCTCCTCTCCACGCCCCACCCCGGAGACGAGCATCACCATCATTCTGGTGTCTGCCACTGCCATGCTGGCTCTGTTGGCTCTGTTAAAAGTAGTTTTATTACATCACAGTAAACACTGTTGTTTTGCACATTCACCCCTAAGTATACATAACATAAAAGGTACCATTTGAACCATTTTTAAGTGCACGGCTCAGTGGCCGTAAGCACATGCACGCTGCTGTGCCGCCGTCACCAACTGAACTGCACCTCTGTCCCCGTTACACCCTAACCCCCGCCCCCCCCTCCGGTGAGCACCGTGTCTCCCTGAGGCTTCTACTCTGGGAACCTCAGAGATGGACTCGCAGTGCTTGCCGTCCTTCCACGTCTGGCTCATTTCACTGAGCGTACAGTCCTCGCGGCTCATCCCCGAGGCAGCACGGCTTCTTCTGTTTTGAGGCTGAGTAACACCCTGCTGCACGAATGGGCCACGTTCTGTTTATCACTTGTCTGCCCACGGACACGCAGGATGTTCTCACCTTCCGGCCAATACGAACATGCTGCTGCAAACTCTGGTGTACAGATGTATTTCTGAAGCCCTGCGTTCAGTTCTCTTGGACATATATCCAGGAGTAGAACCGCTGGATCGCAGGGCAATTCTATGCTTAATTTTTTGAGGAACTACTTGGCAAATTTTTAAGTAAGTGTAAAGAAACGATTCACTATATCTCTCTGCTACCTACCGTTGTAAAGAATTATCCCCATGGAGCTCCTGGCCTCCGCTCGGCACCAGAAGCCCACTCTCAAACGAGTAGAGCCCAGCCCCAGGCCCAGGGTGCAGGACGGCGGCCCCTCCCCCCAGGGAGGGCGGCCCTCTCACCAGTCACAGGCTGGAGCTCCACAAGGGCGGAGGCGGCCGCGCTGCTCAGCACCTGGTACTGGGTCACGGCCAGGTGCGCCTTCCGGCCGCTCCGCACTCTCACCATGTTCCCGTTGTCCATGCGGTAGTTTGGGGACAGCGTCATCTGAAGCCAAAGATACTAAGATATGACTTCAAGGGACAAGCAGAAAGCCCACCCCTCGGGTCCAGCTCACCCACCTTATGGTGCTGCTGCTGCCCTGGCACCTCCTTCTCCACGATGGGGATATCCACGACTCCTGCTGCAGGCACCGGGACGCGCACAGTGACGGCCCTGGGGTGACACAGACCCTTGCTTAGGCCACAGAGGTGAGTGAGGCGCTCTCCGGATTTGGCTAGAGGTGTTTACCGAGCACCCACTGTGGTCAGTTCCTAAGGTCCGAGGGTTCCAAATAATCCCTTGGTGCAGTGCTTAGCTGAGAACTAGACACTATTCTTACAAATGTATCTTTTTTACTCCTAAACTAACAGGTGTTGACTGTAGAATATTCGGGGGGGAAAAATTATATTACTAACACGGTCTTTCACTCCAGTCTTTAAAAATGAGTACGTATAATTTAAAATAAAATTAGAGTAATATGGCTTTCACATCCTGTTTTTCTTTTTTAAATAGTAAAAGCGGGTAAGTTCCAATCACATGTGAAATTAAAAAAAAATGAATGAATGAACAAAATTCACAGGACTGTCCCTGCCCTATTTGCCAGGCAGATAACCAGGGAGGGACTGAACCCAAAGAGGTCAAAGAAGCCACAACAACTCAGTGGCTCACACTGAATCACTCCTGTGGGAGGTCCTGAGTCATCGCATCATGACAGGCAGAAGACACTTGTCATCTGTTCCGATAGCCATGCCTGTCCAGGTCAATCAGAGCAGTCCCCCTGGGGCCAGGTGGCCTGCCCCAGAGCCACTGACCAAGGGGTGAAACGCCCACTTGGACGTACCACTTCCTCCCATCCTGCACACCCCACCGCAGGCTAGCGTGCTGCTAGCTGGTGTATTTTATCACAAACTGCGTTGTGACTACTCTATCACCCTTCCTGATCGCTTGACATCACTGCTCCAAAGGGGTCAGACAGTAAGTATTTACCAAATGTGGACAGGCACTGATTCGGAGAGGCACTAATTCTATGTAGATGAACAAGCCAAAATTCCTGCTCTCAAAGAATTCAGAGCCTGCTACGAAGGAGCAAACCAGTAATTTTAATGTAACAAGTTGCTATCAGCAAAAGCTAATCGTTCCTACTGTGTTCTGCTTGTAACCGCTGCCTGGCATGGAAGGCCATCACTACCTAGGTCCCAGCCTGCCTTTCCAGTCTACCTGCCACCACCGGCCACTGCAGACCGGCCTGTGTGCCTCACCCCCTGTGCGCGCTGCTCCACAACCTAGAACACCGTCCTTCGCCTTGTCCACCAAACCCCTTCCTTCACCACGACCCAACCAAACGACTTCAACTCCTCAGTGAGGCCTAGCACTGAGAATGGTTACCAATTCTGGACTTTCATGAAAAATGTTCAAATGATACAACAATTTTTTATAGACTTACACTTTGATCATTTGTATATATAATAATAGTCTTGGTTTTCCAAACTTCAGCTTTCACCGTGAGCTTGGTGCCGTGTTAAACACTTCACAGGCATTATCTTACCCAAAATACAAAAATAATACTTACAAATCAAACAAAAAGTAACAAACAACCCAACAGAAAATGGGCAAAAGAAATAGGCTGTTGACAGAAAGGGAAAGTCAAGATAGAAAATAAACATGAAGAACAGTCAACATCGAAAGTACACAGAGAAATTGAAAATAAAATATTCCCTCCTCTTTTTTCACCTGAGTGGCAAACCTCTTAAAAACACAATGGGCCCTGGCCAGGTAGCTCAGCTGGTTGGATCATCATCCCCATACGCCATGATTGCAAGTTCGATCCCCGGTCAGGGCACATACAGGAAGTAACCAACGGATGTATAAGTAAGTAAAACAACAAATCGATGTTTCTTTCTCTCCCCCTCTAAAATCAATAAAAAATAGAAATAATTTAAAAGCGCATTGGTCAGGTGTAAGAGGAGCTGGGTACTGGCCACTGCCAGTGAGAATGAAAACGACAGAACCACGCTGGAGAGCAATCGGGTGGTAAGGACTCACATTTCAAATGTGCGCACCCTTCCACTCAGCGATTCGTCTCTAGGGATTCACCCGAAGAGAGACTCACGCGTTCTTTGTAGTAGGTTTTGGAAAAAATGGGATTATCGGAACATCTGTCAATGAAGCCATTATGACACATCCATACAATGGAATACCACAGAGCCATTAAAAAGGAGACAGCTTTAAATTACACCACAAAATGCTCTCCGAGACCTACTGTGTGAATGAAACAAGCAGGATGCGAAACAGTGCAAAACACGCTGCCGTCCGTAACATGCGTCCGCTACATGTCCGGTGTAACTCTGGGAGTGCACACAAGACACTAGTGACAGTGACTGCCCCTGGAAAAGGCAATCGAGGACGGGGGGACTGGAGTAGGTATCATTTTGCTCCTGTATCTTTTCTTCTATAAAAAAAAAAAAAAAAGGAAGTAGCCCTGGCTGGTGTGGCTCAGTGGATTAAATGCTGCCGTACAAACGGAAGGGTCACAGGTTCTATTCCTGGTGAGGGCACATGCCTGGGTTGTGGGCCAGGTCCCCGGGTGGGGGCATTCAGGAGGTAGCCAATCAATGTTTCTCTCATATATTACTGTTTCTCTCCCTCTTTTGTTCCCTCCCTCCCTCTCTAAAAAATAAGTAAAATGTTTATATATATATATATATGGAGGTAAACCTGTATGTACTAACATGGATTCCCCAAGACACAGAGTTAAGGAGAAACAAAGTATGGTGTACATGGTACATGTGATACATGTGTGTACACATGTGTGTTTGTAGGTACGCATACATACTGTCTACACTACATACATACCTAAATATACTAAGGACCAAAGGAATAGAAACCAAACTACTTAAGGGAAAGGACAAAAGTGGTAAGAGTGGGTGGGATCTCGAGGAGTTTTTTATCTTTGTTGTTGGACTATTTTGCCACAGGAGAAAAATCATGTATTACTTGTATAATTAATTTTCAATGATTTCAAGCATGGCCATTATTAGGAACCGCAACTCTATCAGATTCTAATAACGTTCTGACGCTAACTCTGTTTCCTACTCTGCTGAGGTGCTGCACTGGGCCTCGTCAGCAGGAGTTGCCGCCGTGGGAGCGCATGACTAGAAGAAAGGGACGTCTTCGTCTCTGTGCCCCCCCCCTCCCCCGGCCACTGCCAGTGGGCTTCGCACCAGTATTTCTTTGTCACCTGACGGGTCCTAAACAACTCCTGGACTTGGTGCGCCACTGCCTTCTCCCAAGCCAACACCATCACGCCTGTAGTTTCCTTGTCCAGCCGGTGGCACAGATGCAGGGGCTCTGCCTTGTGGCCACGAAGCATCTTCGCCAGGACAGGTAGTACATCACTGATGCAGAGCTGGACCCCAGGGCCACCTGCAAAGGAAAAAGACAGAGGTTTGAGCGGTCATGAGAAGATCCCACCAAAGAACTGTACTTGGGGGAACGAAGCCTTTCCCGGATTAACTATCAATGCTTTCTAGAGCCTCATTACTGATGTGTGGTCCAGGGGCTAGCAACAGCTGTACGCACAGGAGCTTGCTAGAAAGGTATCTCAGGCCTCCAACCCAGACTGTTACTCAAAATCTGTACTTAACAAGGTGCTACTAACTCATGCATATTAAGTTGGAAAAGCTTTGTCCTAGAACATGGTGCTTTCTCCTCAGGTATAAATACTCTTTACTTATGTACATGTACTCACAATAAAATCAGCAATTAAAGTGAGGAGGTCTGATATTTTACTCTATAAACAAAGGCTGGAGAATTTGTTAAGTAAACCCTAGTGAGAAATGCAAAACCATGAGGCCCTCCTGCCCACACTACAGAAGAACTAAGAGGCTTTGGGTGAGCTATTTCTAGGTTCTACTCTACGTACTCTCCTAAGTAGACAATGACTTTGGGAAGGTTGCTTAATCTTTCTAATCTTAATTCTCCTCACCTAGAAGACATAAATATCTGTACTGTAATTAGCTCATGGGAAATGAGAAGGCAAGAAGCTACTGTGAGCATCAACAGAGAAACAAACCCACACAAGGCACTTGGCAATATTTAATTGGCTGGCTTTATGTGCAACCGTCTCCACAGCTCCCCAAAAAGCATTCTTCTTCCAGCAAAAATATGCCTTTTCCCCCAGCAAAACTCTTTCCACAAATGCATTTTTTTCCTATCTTCCCTGACTCACTCCAGCTGTCTCTAACACCTACACTGAACATTTATTCAAACACATTCGAGTGTCCATTAAGTTCTAGATACCCCAGGGTTTGCTTGGGTATACTCCAACACACCCCCCCCATATACGTTTTTTTCTATTTAAACTTTTTTTCCTTTTATTGATTCTAGAGAGGAGAGGGGAGGAAGAGAAAAATCGATGTGAGAGAGAAACATTCATCCGCTGCCTCCCGCACTTGACCAGACTGGGGACTGGGCCGGACCCAGGCCTGACCGAGGCACGTGCCCTGGCCAGGAATCCAAGGAAGACCCTTCTGTCAGAGGCATCACGCTCAACCGATTGAGCCACGCTCACGAGGACTACACTTTTTCCTTATGTTATTTCCTCCTTCCCAGTTTTGATATAAAACAACTTCAAGACAAATCACACAGCCTTTATATTCTCCTACAGCAAATCCCTGTGGAGGTCTGCACACACATCCCATAATCCGCCTGCTGACTGCCAAACGTCGGGGGGGTGGGGACTGTCTTACTTATCTCTGCATCCTCAATAGTGCCTGTGGACAGTAGTCCACAAAAACTTAAATTATTCTCAATGCAAAGCTTTTGAGAGTCCCAGAAGTGACGTGCGAGTGTTGCCCCCAGTTCTGGCTGAAAGCGGCAGCGGTCCCCCTCCCTTCATCCGTGGTCCTTACCATGCACAGGGAGGCCATAGGGCTTATTGATAACCACAAGGTCCTGGTCCTGATGGACAATCCCTCGCCTTAGTGCCTTAGCGAGCACGTTGGGGTGGACTCGCTGCAGCTGCTGTGTGAACCGCACTAGTTCTTGCACTCTCCGCTGGACGGGGTTTAGGGGCATCTATCGGGAAGAGAAACAGCGATGGAAAATGCCTGGTGGGGAGGACCTTCCCTAAGTCTGGGTGAGAATCCGAGCAGGGAGGGAGTCACTGTATCTTTGATTGCGACTCACCCCATCCCCAAATAGTTTGAGAGCGGGAGTACTTAGCACAGAGTCCGCAGGACCACACCCTACCCCGCAACCCACTCCTTCCGCGAGCTCCGCCGGCCCCCCGTTCTCCCACCTCGGACCCGGAGGCCGACTAGCCAGGTCTCAGAGGACCCTCCCCCCACACTCCCCGCCACTGAGCGCACTGTCTCTAGGGAGATGAAGTCTTTCCCTCCGGACTCACCGGCCCCTTCCTGTTCTTTTGTTCCTGTTTCTGGGTTCGGAGCCTCTCTGCTAACTGCTGGGCATCCAGAGGCCTAGAGGTAGCAGCGGCGGCACAAAATGGCTTAGAGACGAGAGAGAGGAGACTCCCCACACGCCTCCCAGAGCCCCAGACCCACAGGCGTCGCGCGGAGTAGCTGGGCGCCACCATCTTGCCGAGGAGGGCGGGGCAAGGCAAGACCACCTGACTTGGGAGGTGGTTTAGGCAGCGGAGCGACTCACGTGCATCCAGGATTGGGCTTGGGAGCCAGGGGGCCGGCGGGGACCCGGAGGTTGGGGGGGAGGGGGGTGGGACTCGCGGTCCTTGTCACGTGGCCACGCAAGCTAAGTGCGCCTGCGCGCATGGTTAACTGCAGTTAGAGCGGCGGCGTCTGGAGCGGTCCGGGTGAGTGTGTCGGTGAGCGCGGCTGCGGCTGGGAAATGCCGGCTCTTCAAGCATTAACTTCGCGTCCCACGATCTTTGTCTCTGAGAGCTCTGCCCTGGGAGGCCGTATTTCCCTTTGGAAGAGATCCCATCCCAAACCCCCTCCGCCCCCGCAGAGCGATGCCCTCAAACGCTCGACCCGGAGCCGCCTCAGGCGCCGGCTCGCGGGTCCTGGCAGCCAGGTTCCCGGAGTTTGACCAGCCCCGGGGAACGCGTCCTGTCCGTTCGCGTCCATTTGCTTGCCTCTCCATCTGCGGGGATGCCCGGATTGTTTGTCATCTCCCGACTCCCAGCCTCTTTGTCATACGTTGTAACCTGTCCTCTCCCTGGGATGATGGGGGGCCCTCGCGTTATCCAGGGGCCCCCGGCCCGATTTCCTACCTAGGGAACCCCTTGAGTTTCTTCGGTCCTTTGCGAAGAGTTCATTTCTTGCAGTCTCCTCTCCCCCTGCTTACCCTTTTCCCCTGGGACTCCTTGCGAAGAAAAGGCCGAGAGTACCGAGCACTGACTTTCCCATCTGTTCTTTCACGTTCTCTTCCCTGCTTTGCAACCGTCCCAAATCCTCTTCTCTTCCTCTCTTACTAAGTGTGATGTTGGGACCCCCGGTGCCCACATTGCGCGTGACTTTCTGTGATTTTACTGAGGGGTAACTGGGAAGATGAACGTTGGTTGGGATGGTAATGTTAAAAATACCGTGGAACCTACCTGCCATTTGTTAAAAAGAAAGCTGCTGCCAAGTTGTGAAAAATGATGGGTCCGTACTGATGATAGAGGAAACAATTTCTTAAGACTGCTTAAAATGAAGGCTACCTGAGGAGTTAGAGCAGGTTGTAGAAGTAGGATTGCCTGCCAACCTTTCAAAAACAGGTAAGTGGAGCTAGGCTGTAGACGACTTTAAGTTGAAGAAGACTTTGAACTAGATGTGATGAGAAGTGAGGGAGGACTTGAGTTTCTTGAGCAGGAGAGAGACTCCTTGTAAGGAGAGGTCTAGAAATGAATCTAGCAGATTAATGCGGGACAGATTGAAAAGCAAAGTGCTTTGATAGCAGGGAAACCCGCTAGGATGCTAAAATCCAGCCAGACGATAGAAGACCATTATGCTTCATTCCAGGGTCTTTTCTCCCTACACTGACTGCCCTTTGAGTTAGAACTGATTTCAAGTTGTACAAGTCAAGACACACCATTGGCTGCTGCTGTTGAACTGTGGGTCCCTTTCATTTGTTTGTTCCCACGTCTGGCACTGGATCCTCACAGATGTTCATTACAGGAAGTGCATCGTAGACATGCGTTAGGTCTGAACATTCTGATTTGTCTTAGTTTTGTCAGTTTTTTGACCCGAAGAATGGAGGTGGGAGTAACAACTATTGAGTGGGAAAGATGGCGTGTGTGTGTTTCTGTAGTGAGATAGGTGATTGGGGTAGAATTGCAAAGAATTATGAGTGAGTTTGGGAAACAACTTCTTTCTCTCCTTCTGTCCACACCCCCACCTGCAAATTCACAGGCAGGACATCGATCTGTGGAAGTTGAGAAGTTGCACCGTACAAGAATGACTGCCTTTTACTTGTATGCCCCTGACCCAGGTTTTAATTTCACTGAAAAGTCACACATTGTGTATTAGGTACATGAAGCCTCCTTTCCAAAGACTCTGAAATTTGGAATTCAGGATTTTAATTTACACTGCTGCATTAATTTTAGTGACTGTTCTGGGTATACTACTTTTATGGTTTTATGGGGGCTAGGAAAACCTATTTCTACCTTCATCTGTCCTTAATGACATTAAAGAAATGATAGCTGTTCTTGCAGAATTGGTCTTCTCTGGCAGGAAACAAAATGAAGAACCAACTCCGATGTCATTGCTAGGGACATGGAGCTTGTGTTCTTGGGTTTCAGTTTAACCCAAGAACACACTATAGAGCTGAAGAGTAAAAACACTGGTCACTTTTTTATGGAGAAGGGTCTTTTAGGTTTTTCCTGTTGAAACATTATAAGAAAAATTTGAAGAATTCAAATTGTTTCCTTGGCATCACAGTACAGTTTTAACCAGTATGGGTACAGAAGTACCACGTCCTTAATGTTTCTCCTGTGAGTCCAGGCACTTGGTGATTTAAAGTAGCTGCTCTCTAAGTGTACGAGAATTTATGCAAATACAATGTCTGCTTTTGTTTTTTTAATGCTCTGTTGCTTCCTTCCTCACTTACGTGATCCTATCTTAGGCAGTTTATTTTTCCCTCTTCTGCACTAATCTCACATTCTTTCTTTGGTTGAGGATTCCTCATCTGGATTGTTGGCTCATTACAGGGAAGAAAATTGTGTTCATGGTCTCTTCATTTTTATAGACTTCAGACGTGGCATACTTGCATTTTTAAAAATTTATTGGGGTAACAACATAAATTTGAGGTGTGCAGTTTTTTAAATGCATCTGTGTACTCTGTTGTGCGCTCGTCACCCGAGGTCGAGCCTCCTTCCATCACCGTGTACTTGCCCTCCCTTCCCCTCCTCCCCTCTGGCAACCACTGTCCATAAGGTTTTGGTGTATCATAATTTATCAAGTGCCCCAAAATAATAATAGAAAGAACTTATTCATTTTTAAGGGTGTTTCCTGATCTAAACAAAAACAAAGCTACACTTTAAGTTCACAGATATGAACAAGGATGGCTAACAAAGGAACTTGTGTTTGAATATAACAGATGTAAGTTTAACTAATGGCATGAGATTAAATTCTGGCTTCTTGAACAATGAATTGCAAGTTGTAGATTAACCAGCAGTTCAGTCTCCCAGAAGAGCAGGAAGTGCTTGAACATTGTTTCATGGTTTCAGAGAGAGCCAAAGGAGCAGTTAGCCGGAGCTCGCTGGACCTAGAAGGTGCAGTTGTTGGGAGCCAGAAGATCTGGGGATTAGTCCCAGTTCAACTGCTTGTGAACTTGAATAATTTGGGCTTTGATTTTTTTTTTTTTGTCTTGTAAAAAAAGATTCTTCCAACCCCAAGCTTCATTTTATAAAGCTTTTCCACTGACACTTAAGTGCTTCTCCTTCTAAACAAGTGGAATTTATTTCAGACATACCTTAAATACATTTAGCATTGGCATGGGGAACCCGGATTCGGCTCTTTACCCCAGACTTTAAAGTTAAGGTGAAACGACATTTATATTTGGAGGTTACTTTATTGAGTGGTGTTGGAACATACCTTAAGATTTCCTATGTAGGGCATGACAGAGGGAGTGCAGACAGAAAAAAACAAAAATATTAGAGCCATGGCCAGGTAGAGCATTGTCCCCATACACACGGTTTTGTGTTTGATATCTGGTTAGGGAACATCCAAGAATCAGGCAATGAGTGCATAAATAAGTGGAATAACAAATTGATAATCCATCTCTCTCTCTCTCTCTCTCTCTCTCTCTCTCTCTCTCTCTCTCGGATCAATCAATTTAAAAAATTTTTTAACAATGAGAAATTGGTGGTATAGACCTATAACATGGCTGTTCTTTTCTCCATACCAGCATTTTCAAGGTATTCTGTTATACTAATGCTCCTCGTACTTTCATTCAGCTTTTGAGTAATAAACCAGAGCAGGTATAGCTTATCCCAGTACTTCGCAAACTTTTTTCCTATCATGGCACGTGTGGAAATGATTTTTGCCTCCTGGAGGAGGAGGACCGCAGGCAGCCCACAGAAGGGAGCTGGCCCGGGAGCTGGGATTGGCCCTAGTCCTCACGTGACCGCACCTCTGCCTGTTTCTTCATAGGAGCAGTGGAATGAACACGTGTCTAATAAGAGTGCTGTGATGAGCCATGAGAGAAATATATGTGGTGCCTAGCATGGAGCAGACACGCAAATTGTTAGTAGCATTTCATGAGTATAAAATAAGACCATTACATTAGAGCATTTTCAAGACTACAAAGAGTTATGTGTTTATGGCATTTATATTAATGAAGGTGACCAGGGCATCTTATGAGAAAAGGCACACACAGCAGAAGGAGTCCGTGTTTCCAGAACATGAGCAATGGAAAATTGAGGGATATTCACCATGCGGTGGTTAAAAGCCAGAGGATATCAGGATCCCTAGAGAAATTTAAGAAGACATTTGCAACATCTAGTTGCTTACGTTGAATAAACCTATCCTTTGATTACTTGAAATTTTAAACAATAAGTTACAGACATGGATTGCTATGTTTTAATTGTCAGTGAGTGGAGTGTGCTGTGTTGACTTTATTGATATATGAGTTTAATGGTATTAACTTCCAGGAGCTGTTATGAGGAGACATGAGCTGCTGTTAACGGATTTGGAAAACTAGATCCACACTGAGTTTGCTGTCGTACTGGCTAAGACTCCCCTGTGATACCAAGCAAAGACTTTTAATTCTTCAAATTTTTCTTAGGGTGTTTAAACAGCAAAACCTAAAAGTTCCTTCTCCAGAAAAACCACCAGTGTTTTTATTCTTAGGCACTGTAGCACATATCTTGGGTTAACCTGCTAGTCAACATTTCCCTGACCCGCTTGGTGATAAGAAAATCACCAGAGATGCCTTTAAATCTACAGATCACTCCTCTGGATGTGGTGACTCAGTGCATTCTGAGTTCAAGCCCAGGGACCAGTTTGCTTCGCCCTTTCCTGCCCAGCAAGCACTCTGGGGGGCCTGGGCTGAAAGTTCTTTTGTTTATGAATATATCACACAAAAGGTGAAGTTACTTAAAAATACAGAGAAAAATGGCAAATTTTAAATGTTGCT